CGTCATTCAAATCCTGCGTTCCATTAGCCGTGCGGCGATCAAAGCCAAAACGAATAAAATTGTTGAGTCGTTCCTGCCTGACGTTCATGAGCACGATTTTGAAATATACCGGGCGTTAATCACTTTCTAATGCTGTGCAAGGGTGTGATGACTTCGTATTTAATAAACAGAGAAAGTGTTTTGTTCAGAGCAGTTTTTTCCACTTGAAAATATATCAAAAGCTGTAAGTGAGCTGATGTCATCATGCTTGCTTCAGTATCCTGAGACGTGCAACATTCTGTTTAACTTCTTCGGAGATTTGATGGATTAACCTTGGCTTCACTGAATGTACTCAGTTAACGGACTAACTTAAACTGAAAGTTAATTTCTAAGCTAACTTTGCCCGCCTCTGGCTAAGACTTCGCCATAAACGTCTACACAGAGCTTACCGGAGGTGTCATTTTTATCGGGGTGTGAAGCACTGTCTGGGTACTTTTAAATGAGGAAGAAAAATTTGGGCTGTAGAGACATACGGCCAGCAAAGTTAAATAGTGGCCAGAAGCAAATTTATATGAGATCATGTCGGCATACATTTTTAGATCTCGCGAGGCGGGGGCGGATTGGTTTGCAAAGATTTCGAGCGAAATTTGTCGCGTGAAAAAGAGCTGAATAGTGTCAGAAGCTGTGAGCAATGTGTCTTCAGAGGCTTATATGACCTGCAGGTACGCGGCACAACGGCATACCATCCATCACCTGTATCATCTCTAGATGTCCCACATCTTCAACGAGAGCTGACACAACGGCTGGTCCGGAGAACTAGTAGTTACGACGTTGTACAGTAGATGACATTACTAACATGGGTGGCGCGGCATTGTCGTCTGTGGAAGCGAAGCAGACAAGCCGCTGATTTGGGATCCCGCCGAATCACTGAACTTAGGCACACACATCCTTGGTTCTGGGTGGACTGGAAATTGAACGCGCGGCTTAACTGGGTCATGACGGAATCAAGTTTTTGTACAAGTTGGAATAAACATAGCCGCAACTGATTCGGGCATTTTAGCCGCTTTCACGGAGAACTGTGCAAAACTTTTTAAAAGTTTTTGAAAAATCTTTCAGCGTTGATGTTCTAACCACACACCTATTATCAATGATTTTCGGCTTGACAAGTTTTGCAGATATTTAAAAGCAAGCTTTTAAAGACACATAGGCCGTGACGGACGCCAGGGCCACCTGCCGGCACATGACGCCCTGGTAGGCGCTGTGAGCCTCTGACCGCCACAGAGGCACCGCTCCATTTTCAAGGACCCAGGACCAATGTAAATCATGCCTCCTGTGCCCTCTCCCTGCCTGCACCACTGATTGGAGGTCATCAGTGGCTGGTGACGTGGAACGACAACCTACGTCTGCTGCCGCTGGCCAGCTGCCTTAACACGTGCCTGGGTGGCCGGCAAGATACCCTTCGCTCGGGTGGGGGGTCAATTTGACCCCGCTGAGACCTCGAGAACTAAGAAAGCTAGAGACACCAAATGCACAGGATGTGTTGACCTGTACGTGAACGCACTTAGGCCAAAAGTTTCAGGTTCCTAGGTCATGATCTTTGGGTCAAAAAAGGTCAAACAAGGTCAAGGTTCCAGGCTGGTCTCCAAAATACCTCCAGAACCTAGATAGCTGCTTTCTAAGCAAAAGGTCACATGCTCATTCGAGGTCAGTGACCTTGTGTGACCTTTTGAAGGTCAAGGTCACCAAAATCATACAAGATTGCTTTGAGTTTTGCATTTGACTAAGTGACAACGATTACGCTAGGCAGTATGTTCCTAGAAGCAAATGTTGACCTGGGTCATTTTAGGTCAATGACCAATTCGGACCTCTAAGAAGTCCATGGAAGATGTATAATGCGGTTCCTGCTATCAATAAATTCGAAATAAGCACCAAAAACTATACCATACAGCAAGCCCTAGGGAAACATAACAGGTTGGTTTTGACCTTGGTGTGACCTTCATGCCTGACTTCAGGTCAATGTAATTTGCTCATTAAACTGTTGTGTTGCCTAAGAACGCATCTCAGAGATATGTGGCTTTCGTCTAACACCGTTGTTGGATCAGATTGAAGGATTCCCTAGAAATTGTTTTCGCTGAAACCATGGCCTGACTTTGACCTGCCATAGGTCAGCGACCTTACAGAGTACACCTATATTTTTTGGTGCCAAACGATGCGCTATTCAATTGTCTACAGCTACTGCGAAATTTGGCACAGGCTACGCCGCGCCGTTCGGGAAACTATTCCGGAAAAATCTTCGGGAGGGGGGTCAATTTGACCCCCCACCTGAGCGCGTGTTAAGGTGGGGATGTTGATGTTGAGTTAATTACTGTGAAATCATTTTGGGCAATCAGTCATTGCATGTTGGGTGGAACATTGTGCACATGACGGGTAACAAACTACACAGTTTCCCAGTCTCATCTTTGGCTGAAATGTAGCGATCGAGGCGATATATACCGACTATCAACTTGCATAGCGATGGTAGCGATAATAAACTTTCAGAATTTTTGGTGCATTTTGCCACCTCTGCCAGCGCTGGCGAAAAATAGATCAACTAGGAGCATTAGTGCACACGATTCAATCCGGTGTGTTATTTTAAAAACTTTCTGCGATGGTAAGAGTGCAGCATAACAACTTTTGAGCTATCTTGCTCAACTCAGTTTCACTTCTCCCGTTTCTCACTTGCAGAGCTTCACAACAACATGGCATAGAACCGACACTCAATTTTTTGAGGGGGAGTGCAAATGACACATAACGTCAACAAAAAAGCAAGTGTTGTTTCTTCACTGTTAACATGTCACCAAAGGCGCATATTGATAACGATCACAGCTTCCAATCGTTGTCCCTGAGCACATGATTTGACTCCAGCCACAATGATTTGTCATGTCTATCCAGATCTGTCACAATTATGATGAAGTAATTTGGAAAGCCAGGCCATCACATGTCGTAAACGGCTGTTTTAAAATATTGAAAACATTCTATCGCAAGTTACAAACGGTGTGCAACATACAACAATAGTTCAAAAGCACCATGGACTTCACATAGGTGAACCGCCGTCTCGCGTGCGCTAGAATCGTCCAAGATTTTGCAAATACAGTCCAGCGATGGTTTGGCAGTGTACTTGTGACTACATGAGTACACTTGTAATGATGCTTGTACTTATGATTAATTAAACCTGGACTTATGCAGAAATGATATTGGGTTGCGCATATATCCTGTCGGTTATAGCAGTTTTGCCACCCCCAGTGTTTCTTATATTATATTATTAATATTAATGACAGATCCTAATAGCTCAGCAAACGATGTTTTTAAAACTTGTTGCAAAGGTGGGGCATTCTTTTTTGCGGACCGATGCTCGCAGAAGCTTGTGGATCAGCCGCGTTGCTATCGCGGCCGTCAGCCATGAGCCAGCGTTAGGGCCATTTCATGGCTGAAGGCCCCACCCCGGGGCTCGCGCAGCCCTCGCTGTGCTCGTCCTGCAGAGTGAAACTCTGTGATGGCAATCCTGGACATCGGTGCATTGAAAAACCGCTAAAATGCTCCCTTTATTCCGTAGTTGGCTCAAATTACCATGAATGCCGAAATAACCTGGCATGGTCGAATCCAACACCACGCGGTCTGATGGCCCGCTGCTCAACACGCGCCCTGGTGACCGGCTGGACACTTTTGCCCGGTTGGGGGGTCAATTGACCCTCCTGAGATCTCAGGAACTAAGACAGCTAGAGACTCCAAATTTGGAGGGTGTGTTGACCTGTAGCTGCTCTCACTTAAGTGAACGTTTGAGGTTTTTAGGTTATGAACTTCGGGTCAAGTAAGGTCCAGCAAGGTCAATCTCCAGGCTGGTCTCCAAAGTGCCCCCAGAACCTAGATGCCGATTCCGAGCAAAATGTCACATGCTCATTTGAGCATGTGACATGCATCACATGCCCATTTGAAAACAGGTTGGTTTTGGCCTTGGTTTGACCTCCTTATCTGACCCTAGGTTAATGGCATTTGTGCATTCAGTTGTCTACAGCTATGCAAGACTTGGCGCAACTGCACCACGCCATTCGGAAACCATTCTGAAAAAAACCTTCCGGGGATCAATTTGGCCCCCACCCGACCGCGTGTTAAATATTTAGTATTTTGCATCACGTCCCAGCTACACCGATCTTCAAAATTCTATCTGCCTTCGCCGCCTTCGCCGACATCTTAAGTTCACCGCCTTCCAGGTCGGGGTGTGCCCTTATTCAGGTCATGCTCTGCCGGCATAACGATAGGATGATCTTTGCCAGCTGACTTCGTCAATGAGGCTATCTGCGGATTCAACACACGCGCATCTCGCTCACAGCGACAGAGTGTGAGAATCAGCAACATCCAGGCGCCCGTACTCCTTTAGTCCATGTGATATTCACAAGTGATCAAAAGTTAACCCGTTTCAAGCTCATCTTTAGTAGTTCAGACGTCACAGACCACAAATCTACGCATTTCAAGCGATGCGTCGCTCATTGGTTACAGTCTGCCTGCGTAACCATTCGGCCGTGCTTGATATTAACTATCTTGGAATGTAACCACCAAATTCACGAGCTCGCTCGACTTTGCACGCCCCGACCTATGGCTTTCTGAACAGACATCCCATGACTTCACCCCCAAAACAGCCAATTTTGCACGCCTCCCACGGCGCGCGTTATCAATCGGCTAGCAACTCATCTCAGCAGTACGCACTATATACAGTACCAGTACAAAAATCGCGCGCGCGCGCGCGCGCGCGTGTATGTGTGTGTGTACGTGCATGGGCGCGTGCGTGCGTGTGATATGCACTCTCTGCACGCTATTATTTTTACCTTTTTACACCAAAATGTCGTTTTCCTGCTTCAACTGCAATGCATTTTTAGCATATGGTACACACCAATGAATGACTTGCTGCCACTAAACCTGACCTACCTCGTCGCCGCTTCCCAGCCGCAGCCGCCCGTGCTGCCGCCAGACGGCGCGGCGCACCGGGCCCGACCCGACGCAAGCCGTGGCGCTCTCGCGCGCGCTCCACTCAGGAGCGTGGTCCGCGTGAGATCCCTGACGGACCCGGCTCTGTGAGCGGTACCGTGTTGCGGTGGGAAGAGGCAGGCAGCGTAATCCTGGGAGTGCGCTCGCGGTCCTGATGTGGCTGAGGCGGCGACGATGCCTCCGGCTCGCGGCAGTGCTCCTCTGTTCGGCGGCTCTCGTTGCATTGCTAACGGGCGCAACGCAGCGGCGACGAAGACCTCAGGTAGTGTCCGAACGCCCGCTATGCAGTGTGGCTGTACACATTTCGGTACTCTTGTGTGCAGTTCCCATATGAACATGTAAGGTGGATATTGGTTTGTGTGGTAGTCAGAATGACCAGGTTATTATCTCAGCGCTCGGACTCAGTGGCGGATCCAGGATTTCGTGGAGGGTGAGGGCATGCAACATTGTGGGCCCCCCAGAGTTTGGGGCCCCATAAAATATTCGTATTCCGGCCGGCATTTTAAGATCCCATATATGCTATTTGTATACGGGAACTCATCTTACTGTATGCAGTCCTAGAAACCAACGTGTGCTACGCGTACATGCATGGAGCTCGTTCATTTTCTCCAGTTATGGCAGACATGTCAATATGAGGCTAAGTATTTCGGAAAACATGACAAAAAAGCAAGGTTGGCTGCTAAATACCCTCAGAATCAAGCACGAACTTGGCTCCCAGCTCATTCACGGCTAGCGGCTAGTCGATGTGATCAGCTGATGGCTGATGACTAATGCAGAGTTTTTTGCTTCAACCTGTTATGAAGGAGTACAGCACATCCTAACACTCCAATGTATTTAGAACGTGATGCACAGGGCATATACCACGCCGGCAGCACGCCAAATGATGTTTGGCATTTGCGCGTAAAGATTCATCAGTGCATTTCCAACTGCTGCTTTTTGGCTAAGGCGTCAGGTCAAATCGTTTCGGGCAACCTCGCACTTGTGTACCTGAAGTAATTCAACTAGACCCATACACATGAGCAGGCAACGCCCTGTCGCTCACAAGCACACGTGAGGCCTCCGGCAACAGATTACGGCCGCTCTGACTTCATCGGAAGATGCCACGGCCAATGTTGAGGGCCCGAGGCGATTGAGAGTGTTCCGCCCGATGACAACTTAATTCCCCGTCAGCGGCGGGGGCCCTTCGGTCATAAGGGAAAACCCAAAGCCAATAGGGACGGGACCTGAGCGATCGAGGGTGCCGCAGGAAGTCAACAAAGAGGCTCCTGTCAGCAGTATAGGGTCCTCAAAGCAAACGAGAAGAACCCAGGACCGACATGGTGGGCCCCTGAAGGATCGGGAGTGGCCCAGCAGGCTAACACATAGGACCTCAGCCAGATCACAGGGCCTTCTGGGCAAAGGGATGTGATCTCAGACCACCGCGCATGAATGAATGCCCCTGTGCGATCAAGAGTGCCCGGGCATGTTAACAGAAAATGCTCCGATAGTTGTTAGGGGTCCGCCGCAAATGAAATCGAAAGGAGAGAGCCCTAGATCAATGTAGGAGGCCCTTGAGCATCGAGTATATCGGTGCGCTACCTTATATGGGTCCGGCAACAGCATAAGGTCCTCCAATCAAGCAGAAAGAACCCGAAACCAATATGAAGGGCCCATAAGCCGTCGAGCATACCCCGGCAGTGGGGACCCGGCAATGCTGTATAGAGCCTTTCGGGCGAATGGGAAAAGTCCGTCGAAGGCTCTTGGTCGACAGGAGTGCCCGGGCACGCTAGCAGAATGGGTACCGACAACAGCGCAAAGCCATCGGGGCAAATGCAAAAAATCAGGAGCAACGTGGAAGACGCCTTAACGATCACGGAACTGACAAGTGGACATAAAGGACTCTTGGGAACAGCATAGGGCCCCTGGACAGCGTAACGAGTCTTAACCCCCCCCCCCCCCCCCCAATCACCCCCCGCTCAATAAGTGGCGATTTTTTTGTCTGCTCATGGGTCTTTCACTTTTGCTTGCGACTGTTCTTGGTCGCCTGGAGGCCCAAAGACGTCAAAGTTTGTAGCGTTTTGTGTTAAAGAATTGCGTCTGTTAAGGCGGCTATGGGCCCCTTCGGAGCCTATGAGCCTCTTCGAGACCCAAGGGGTAGGGAGTCATTGCCGCGCCAGCCCCCCCCCCCCCCCTCCCCACCCCGTTTGGGTTCGCCGCTGATCAGACTTCAACAAGAATGTGGTCTGATCTAGCATCCGTTGCCATGACAGAGAAAACCTTTCACAAATATTTGTCACTCATTTTTCAAACGAATCGAAATATGTAAAATAATATCTGGAATATCTGTCATGTTCCCGGGCTCTTGAGCAATTATTCCCAAAGATGTTGGCCCCATCAAAATCTCACTAACAGATGAAGCTTAGACGTACTCGGGAAAGGGCTGTTATTCGTATTTATGGCGAACAGGTAAGTGTTGTTCATGCCTTTGCCATGAACAATACACATTTGCTGTTTGCATGACAATCGAACAGTGTTGGCAATTGGAGTTTTGAAATGTGAGACTGAAATAATGTTTTCAACCAACGTACAACGTTATTGTTCTATTTTTGTCGGGAATATGCTCAATGGGGTCCACTGGGAAGAACCTTTGTTCCGGTACATTTTGCTGAGAGTTCAAGATGAATAACGAGACTTTCCTTCCACGAGATCGATGTGAATAATATCGACGTCGACGAACAAAAACCTAGTCGTTCGAAACTCGCGGAGAACCGCGTGATGATTATTTAATGTTTTTTTAAAGAAAACTTTAGAAGAGGAGACACGTAAAAAAGGCCGGCAAAGCCTTCCGGCTGGTCTTCAAGCCAAGAGCCAAGCCAAGCCAAGTAAAGGTAAGTAAGTTTTTTTTGGAAATGGGTTGGAATGCCCTCGGCGTGGGATAATGCCGACACAACAGGCTTTTCGCTTGTAGCGTCGTCAATTTTGGTTTCACGTTAAGCTTTTGGGATGTGGACAGAAAGCCTAAAAACGTTAACTACGCCTTGTCTGTTGTTTCCCTTGCGTTACATTACGTACGCTTTAGATTTCAAAATGATTGGAAACTGGCAGTCATAACGGATTATATCGTACTTCATGTGTGGTGGCCGAGGAACAGCGTATCACACGGACCAGTATTTCGTTGAAATGAAGCTTAGAACAAACTTCACGGCTTGGCTGCCACAGCCACGTCGTCATCACTGTTCGACAAGGCCACTTGCCTGAAAACTTCGACGATGCCATCATCTATGACAGAGATGACGTACATCTTTGTCATAGAGAATGTCATGTCATCTATGCCATGCCATCTATTTCAGCTATGTCAGACCACATATGTCATGAACCGACATCATTCAGTTTTTTGCGAAGCAGAGGAAAAATAGTGTGTAGCAGCGCGCCGCTACGCTAAATATTGGCGTAAGATTTCTATCATCATATGTTTAGGACTTATCGTGCCCTAGCGTCATGCCACGGGCTCCTTAAAAGGCGAGTATATGGTGATCAGTTTTGAAGGGATTGTTCCCCATTTGAATGGGGTTTCGAGCTAATGTGGCCATTTTGAAGATCATTCAGTGGAGTTCGCAGCCCTGCCCTTTTTAAGACTTACAAAGCCTCTGGTTCCTGGGCTTGACGCCCGCAAACTTGTGGTGACTTTTACGCTCGGAGTATTTCGAAGTCACCCAGGCACGCATGACGCCATAGAAATGTCACAGGAATCCTGCCACCTCATTTGTCATCTAGCACTCAAGGCCACGCAAAATATCATCATTAACTTACTCGTGTCGGGCAAATAACTTCTTTCTGATGCCATGAATACGTGTGATGAGGTAATCAAGCGATGACGTATTGAGGAGCACATTTACTTAAAGGTGACATTGTGTTACGACGAGCAGGTTGTTGGCCTTAAAGGCATATCAGTTACAAAAAGTGAGCTTGTTTCATCATATCTGTTGCTTGCCTCGACATACTCAAATATGGAATATTCCTTTTAAATATTGGCAGTGTTTTGTGAATGGCGTTGTGGCCAGTCTACGCGCAGGAGTGCAGGAGCATTTGAAGTTTTCGGGATTTGTGAGGCCAAGAAATGCTTTCCTTAGTGTAATGATGATTTGCTCATCGAATTATAGACAGCTTATATTCAACGGCATCAATTAAGACATACGACGAGTCGTGAAATCAGAAGTGGAGAATGCTAACAATCAAATTTGGCATAGTTAATATGGCTAGCAAGTTCGTCTGACAGAGCTATCAAATAGGAGATACTTCGATGGAGTGATGATAAATCCAGGTCCCCTCAGTGAAAATTGACGTGACTCCTACCCACGCTACCAGCCGCACCACACTCTTGTGGTCCCTGCCATACCAGTACGCACCAAATTACCGTGGCCCCCTGCTTACCCAGTCTGTAGGTGACTCTCGTGGCGCCTGTCTTACTGATCCGCACCCCATTCTCGTGGCTGAGCCGCACCAGCCCACATTACATTGTCATGGGCCATACCTACCCAGCTCGTACCCCATTCTCGTGGCGCTTGTCATGCCAGCACGCGTCGCATCCTTATTTAATGTTCGCCCTGGTCCCTGCACACATGGATGGGCATTCTCATGGCTTCATGTACGTTGCTTCACTTTGCGCTGTCCGTTACCGGTAACAGGCTGCTAATCTAACAAAAATCGTAGCGTGGGCTGCTGTTTAACGTCTCACAACCTTACGATTAGCACAATCGCCAACGTTATGCTACAACGTTACATACAATGAGACCACATGTAGTCAATGACAGCACGACAGAATGCAAGCATGTACCACCAAGTCAGTATTATAAAGCCAAGCCAAAGCCTGCACCGTTATCAATCACGCCACACGCAATGAGATCAATGGGACGGCGACAACTGAATCTTAGTCACGCCTTTGACTTTTGCGCAAACGACGAACAGTGTAACTATGTAAACCAAGAACTTCCCGACGTACGTGTTTAATCAGAGCGACCAAGAGCGCTGCAAGCTGCAATATCACTCCATGAGTCGGGCTTCAGCCGTGGATGAGCGTGGCTGGCGACGGTCCCGGCCGGCGACAGGCGAGTAATGGCGGGCGGGCCCGTTCCGGCGCCGCTCGACACACAGGATCAGCGGCGCTCCCCGCGACGGGGGCGCGCGCGTTCAGCCTCTGTTTGGGTTGGCGGCTGGTGTGCAGACCCCGCCCGCCGCCGGCCGACACATCCTCTCCCACTGGCGCACCCCTGTTTTGCCAGTCGG